CTGGTAAGTTTTCTGACGCGTGGTACTTTTGAAATTTAATTTTAATAATGCACTTTATTTTATTATTATTTTTTTAAATCCATAAATTGATTTTTCAAACACGCGTACAGAAAACAAATATATGAATAAATGTCGTCTCCTATTTATCAAATTAATGGCCGTCGCACCCATCGCACTGCCTTCTGATCTCGTTGACCATGAGACTACTCCTGCCAACGACTTACCTACCTTGATCTGCAGATTGAAGGATCATATGAGGTCGATCCGCCCTGTCAGAGACGTCCACCACTCGTCTAAAAATATTTTTTGCACCCTGACTCGATAACTGCCACACACGTTTTTGTGCGCCACGATGCCTCACGCAACCCATTACAACCAATCTACGATGGACACTCAGACAAACACTTCGATTTAGATACACTTCGACAAAACAAAACGGTTCAAAAACCCCCTTTTTTTCTGAAAGATACGACCACCTCTACGCCATTCTCCAACAATGACAATGGACCTGTGAACAGAAACGACCACCCACCAGATGAGACCACACAAACACCAGCCATCTTGCCCACTGACAACTCGTTCTGGGCGAATCCCTTCTAAGTTTTTGAGCATTGTCACTGGCACTGGGGTGGGAGTATGTGACCAACCTGGCAACCTCTTACCCGTGCCCCTAGATCTAGAGTCATTCTGACCACGTGTGTGGTACTGATAACAGTCTTTGTACTTGAGCTCAAAATATGCTGGTAGTATACTAAATAAACCAAGAGTATCCTAATAGAGACAAGGGAAGAAAACAACAAAACAATCGAAAGCCTTTATCTCCTTTCTGAACAAATCGAATCTCCGACCAAAATTTACAATAGCAACACAATTGTATCGTACGATTAAACTTGACAATTCACATAATGAGGCGTTATCACGTGACGCACACGTCACTCGACAATACACCCGTTATAACGAGCTCTCTGGTAAGTTTTCTGACGCGTGGTATTTTTGAAATTTAATTTTAATAATGCACTTTATTTTATTATTATTTTTTTAAATCCATAAATTGATTTTTCAAACACGCGTACAGAAAACAAATATATGAATAAATGTCGTCTCCTATTTATCAAATTAATGGCCGTCGATATGAATCAAGGGGGAGGAAAGTTCGTATCACGTGATTAGTTTTAAAAAGTGATTTACGGTGCCGTAGAATAACTAAGGACGATGGGAATTTAACAAATCGATTTAAATTTAATTTTGTTAATTAATTTACAAGGAAATTTTCCGTATTATCGATCGTTCGATAATTAGAATTAAAATACTAAAGTTTCAATTAGGGTTTTAGTATTTTTCGACTTTTTCGTATAAAAGCAATTAGTAGAGATTTTTCGACTGGACAATTAACCAGACTAATTAAGTTATAATTTCATTTTCTTTACAGATTTTTAACTCACTTGCCCATCAAACAATAGAAAATTGGCTGTCCAATTCCTCCTCTCTTCCCCCATAAATCTCCAAACCCTAGTTACGTTCCTTTCGGGCCTTTTATTATGTTAAAAACACAATAAAATAGTTACGAGGGGTGCTTTTAGGCACGTAATATCTTTTCATGAGGCCCTTCGTGTGTTTATTGGATAATTAGCCACATTTTCTTTGGTGTAATATCTCGAACTTTCCGCGATAAGTTCGAGTAAACTTTGGCTAGTCAGTGACACGGGAAAGACACGAGAAATATTGTTTTCTTCGCTTTATAAGAACTTATTTCGGGTTTTCATATCTGTTTTTCTTTACTTAAGCAATTATTTTACATAATTCTCCTATAGTAACTACCATAAGAGGAAGCAAAAAAGAGAAGGAACGTGTACAAATCGTGGTATACATCACTTGCAATGGGTCGTAATTGGTGTTTTATTCAGGAGGAATTTCTTTCGGATCTCTGTTTCATATTACAAATATCTTAGGAGATTTACGTGACGATATTTGATTATGATAAGCTCGACTCTCCCCATCCAACACGGATTCGTATTGAGGAAATTACCATTTTGGATAATTCCCTCGTAAATCCTGTACCAAATTTCTTTATAAAATTGCTTTAGAAAGTTCTCCGAAGAGAAGAATCCGTAATAAAATATGACGTAGGCCTACTTATGGGGGTAATTTTGTTGTTGTTTTCCTCCCCAGAGGTTTATATAAGGAAATAAAATTTAAATGATAAATCTAAAATGATATTTTATTAATGATTAATTTAATTATTTCATTTATTATTATAAAAATCCAGCAAAGAGTTGCGTAACTTTCCCGACCCCCCAAAAAATTAAACTGTATCTTCCCATTCCTTTGACCTTTAACTACCAAAATTTAATGACATAAATGCCCGTAATATACGAACCTCCGTGCGAAGTTTCAGAGAATTTCGACAAAAAACACGGGAGTTATTAAGCTTTCTAGATCACACCCTTAGTTATGCCACATCGTACCGTTCATCGATAAAGTCGACTAAATAGTTCGTCATAGAACAAATTCGGAAACTGGACCACACATATATATATCGACCGCAATCGATACCATTCTTTTTATAATGCGATGTGACACGGTATAATCGTTCGACCTATCTAAACGAGCGTACCGTCTTATCGATTGGTGAAATTATCAAATTCTATACGCGTTGTATCTGCGTGTGTCACTCTCTCTCTCCCCTCTTGTACAATCTGTTACTTGTTTATCTGATACATAAAAATAAAGTTTTGCAATCCCGGGTGTTATACTTAACCGATGGATTTACTTTAGTCTTTTAGATAAGTAGAGTTTCACTCTCCACTTATACGGAAACCATCAAGTTTTATTGTCTGGTAGGCACGAAACGACCGCCATTTTCTGTGATCTCCTTTAATGATTGGTCTTTCTCTATCGGAAAAATTATATCTTACGATTAAATTGATATTGTTTTCTTTTGTTTATATTCATTATCGAACGCGCGGTTTGTTGTAGTGACTGAAAAGCTTACTGTATTGTTTGGATTGGGTTGATGCCCGGACGAAAAAAGTAGAGTAACGCGTTAATCTCCTAACGATTTCTAAAATTAAACGTAAATAATAATGGCGAATGTATTCGTCTTTACGCCGGGAGAATTAATTAAAATAATTAATTTTTATCGATATTATTATTATTTTTTTTTTTTCCTGCCGCGTTATTACTAATTTTACGCATGGTGAGCTTTACGGCGTTACTTCACCACGCGATGATGATTTATGCAACATGTGTTATTTAAATTAATTAATCGTTTATTTTTTGAGGAGTAAAAACTAAAATCTTTTGCTAAATCTACGTTTATGAGTAACGTAGAACATAGAGGAAGTATGGCGATGACCCCCTCCCTCAAGATTTTTACATTTTTGGACTCTCGAAACGTCCAGAAATGCAGTGTTTGGGTGGTGTCTTCTATATGTATGGATGTGAGGATTTGTGTGTGGGAGGTTTCTTCTGTATATGAGGATTTGTGTGCAAGGTTTCTTCTGTATGTGAGGATTTGTGTGTGGGGGGTTTCACAACCATACATACAGAAGAAACCTCCCACACACACTTCTGTATGTACTGTTGTGTGTGGGGGGGACATGACTTTGTCACTGACTTGAAAGCTTAATAACCCCTGTATGTTATCGAAAATTTCTGAAATTTTGCAGGGAGGTTCGTATATTATGGGATAGATGCTATTAAATTTTGGTGGTTAAAGGTCAAGGGGTGGGGCGATAGAGAAAGGTTAAATTTCCTCTAAACGAAGTTTAGATGAGCATCGTCATCTTGTTAATCCCTGGTCAACAAACAATTGTTCTTCTGGTAATTCCTAATCAATTTAGGAATTACTAGAAGACAATTGGTTCTCTACAAAAATTGTTTGCATTTTCTTGCTAATTAATTAAGTAAATTTGCTCTCTCAAACAAGGCGTGGACCATAAATAAAGAATAACGTTTTGGAATTATTGAGAGGAATTAGCATCTGAATGTGGTGATGTGGCGCACGTTTTCAATCGTTTTAATATCGGAGAAAGAAAAATCAACTTAATTGGATAAGTAATAACGAAGAGAAAGTATATAAATGGCGAAAAATTCATCGATTTTTGCCAAACTTATTAATAATTTACTTGTATCAATTACTGACGAACGTCCCGTTTTCATTAGAAAGAAGATTCTCGCTTTACGACCTTCTCGTTTCACGTTTCTCCCTTTATAACCTCTTGTTTTACGATTCCTCGCTTTACGACCTTCTCGTTTCACGATACCTCGCTTTACGACCTTCTCGTTTCACGTTTCCTCGCTTTACGACCTTCTCGTTTCACGTTTCCTCGCTTTACGACCCTCTCATTTCACGATTCCTCCCTTTATAACCTCTCGTTTCACGATTCCTCCCTTTATAACCTCTCGTTTCATCGTTCCTCGCTTTACGACCTTCACGATTCCTCCCTTTATAACCTTCTCGTTTTACGATTCTTCCCTTTATAACCTCTCGTTTTACGATTCTTCGCTTTATAACCTCTCGTTTCATCGTTCCTCGCTTTACGACCTTCACGTTTCCTCGCTTTACGACCTTCTCGTTTCACGCTTCCTCCCTTTATAACCTCTCGTTTTACGATTCTTCGCTTCAATGACGGCCATAATCTCCTCTTCTAAACGAATACAATTATTTTTTTTTAGTTCTTACCCACTTATTCATTGCATTACTAACTTAAACATTAGTTTCGATTTACCGAACTCGATAGGAATTAGATACCCTCGCTTTACGACGGAGTAATCAACGATCAATTAACGCATTAAAAATCCTCCCGTCTTTATTATACTTATAAATCACACAATTTAATATTTAAAAAACCCCGACCGATTTACCTTTTTAAAACATAAAAAAATATATATACATTAAATATTTTAAAATATCGTATACATTTTTCATCGCCATATTTTTCAAAACGGCTTAAGTGACAACTTAACTCTTTGGCTGTTACAACGGAATAAATCGATCTCGTTACGTACAACCTTATTGGTCGGACATGACGTCATGGCAGACGATAACCCCGCCCTGCGGCCAACTCCCTCTCCATGGAAGATGGCGAGCGTTCAGCGTGATCACTGGTCTTACATCGTTCTCCAATGTCTGTTACTCAGCCTCCTCCTTTGTAGAAACGGGATTTTTGCCGACAGGAACAAGTATTGTGAGTATCGGCCGTGTTATTTTTTTTATAAGGAAACTATTCCGGTCTGGTTTTTCCCACTTTTCATAGGGTTCATTGATCCCCGATACATTAAAAAAAATACAAGGGAAGGAGATAATGTGGATGTCTTTTCGCTAACTTCGCTCCCCACCCTTTTTTTCAATAATTAAACACTTTTTCCTCCTCTAAATCATGTCCTCCTCTTGTTTTTTTCTTTGGTTTTTGAAACAGGTCTTAATAATAACCCCATAATTCTTTCTTACAAATTAAATTACTGTAAGAATGCAATCCAATGGCTTATAAATTGCTCTGGTGTATTCTCTGATCTTTCTTCGAATATTTTTGCTTTAATTAACTTCACAACATATAAATATTATACAAACATCCGTACAGGATCAAAGAACGCATTGTAGCAATTTAGTTTGATGTTTGGGATGAGGTTTTCGAGAATTGCGGACGTATAAATTCCTGCCGGAGTCCGTCCGTCCTTCCTTAACGTCGAGAACGGAGTTAGAAAGAGGACCGGCACGACTGTATTGTTAACGGGGAAGCGTGACGCGCGGGGGCGAGATGCTACCGAAATGAAAAATTGCAGCCCGGAATTGCGGCTATTTTCGTTTAAAGTGATCTTGGTAACCGCGTAACTTTCTTATAAATTAAATGATTGCGAGAACGTAATCCGGCGATTTACGGATTGCTCCGGTGCATTTTTTTATGTTTGTCCGAGTATTTTTTTTCTTTTGTTACGACGTACGAATGTCAAAGAATTCGTTGTAGTGCTTGGTGTGAATATTCGTCCTTATTTAGTCACGAGAACAGAGTTAGGTAGAGGAAAATCGAGACTGATGAGGAAACATTAGGGGCAGGACGATCCAATTAACTACGTGCAAACTTCCAGATTGGACCGGAAGTCGCGTTATTTTCATTTAAATATTTTCTCCCAAATGGAGTTAGCTAGATGATTGGTGTGACTCGATTGCTAACGGGAAAAGTACGACGTACGGGGGTGAGACGCTACTAAAATTGAAAGCGTTGCGGCGACGTCGCAATAAATAATAGCTCGTTATTGATATTTTTACGTAAATAAATCTTAAATTTTGCTTATTAACCTTGTATAAAACTTGCATAATAAAAATATTTGTAATAGAAATTTATTTAAGATAATTAACTTAATAATTATCATTTGTAAAGAGTGTTAAAAAAAAAAGAAACTACAAAAAAATATACTTTTGGTGATACTTTTTATGGTTTGGATCCGGTAAATGTGGTGTAGTCGTTTCGTTCGAAATTTATTTGGTCAGACTTGAATAAATATTGAATGTAGACTATTGAATTTCCATTTGTTGAATATTTTGTCTGAATAATGTTTGCTAAACAAAGTTCTGCATACAAATTGTTTTTGAGGAATTTTTAAGCCCGTCTGAGTATTTTTTGATGGACCAATTACTATAATTAATTGTCAATTCATAATATATTTATATTATATTAATATTTTAGTATGTCTGAAAGATATTTTGTGGAGAATGTTATAAGGACTAGAAAACTAAACAATTCTTTTGGGAACAAAGAAACTTATTAACCAAATGTTTTTGGATATTATTGTGATTGTCTTTGCAATAAAATGTCTTGAAGGTGGACGTGATAATGTTAGCTACCCCTCGTTGTTCCTAAAAGCACTATAGAGATTTTTTTAAACACATTATTAATGCATGAAAAAAGACAAAACATTATGGTATAATTAAGATTATCCATTTTGTAGTTTATATAATATTTCTAAAGTGAATCATAATATATAATCATAACTATAGAAATTATCACCATAGTTTTTAAATTTTTTCTGTACAATTTCCTATGATGTAAGATTGCCAATTAAATAATTATGTATTGATTCTGTGCAGATGAAAAATTTGTAATTTGAAATGTTTAAAATGTATTACTTTTAGTATTTACTAATTGATTTTGCTTTATATTGCAATCTTGTCGTTATTTAGATTCCGTCTTTATTAAATAAACATATTTCTGTTTAAAGAAAATTGCGGACGTTATCTCTTATCCTGTATTAAATTTTTTTACCAGCTTTTTCTAGATAAGAATTAATTTCATATCCTTTTGTTTTGTTCTAAATGCACTAATCAATTATGCTAATGGAACTTACATATTCAGTTTTTATATAAAATTTTAGTTTTTATTTGTAAACTGTTTGTATCGTTTTTGATCATTTTAATTTGAACACGGCAACAAATTAAAGAAATCCTTAAAGAACATCTTAGAATACCTTTCGCTCCATTGAAGCCTGAAGTGCTTGTCTTCTACATTGTCTTCATTTAAGAATGCTGAAAATTAAGTATTTAGTTTAGACTTCGATGCTCCTTGACCAAAAAAAAAAAATTAGCTTTGTTGTATCTGATGATCGAAATGAAGATATTCAAAAACTTAAATTCAAAAATTAAAAAGCATAAGATAAAGCAGAAACAAATTAGTAAAATTATTTCCTAATAATTTTACTAATTTGTTTTTGCTTTATCTTATGCTTTTTAATTAATATAAATAATAATTCAGATTTTATTTGTGATAAGATACACATTTTTCTATACTTGATTCAATGTTTTCAAACTAAAACGTTGTACAGTAATACCCCGAACTTACGCGATAGGTGGGACCGAGCAATGACCGCGTAAGTCAGGGTATAATTTCGCAATTTGTGTAAAATCCAAGTCGGATGTATGTAAGCTAACAAATGTTCTCGTTAATCTTATCTCGTCTTTTGATTCGTTCACGGTTACAAGAAATCTCCACATAGAGTCTCTCGAGTCTCTGTAGATATAACAAACACAGGAATAAATAACACAAAATAAATTGTAGCTATGTGTTGATTCTGCGCGACACGTCCAAACATGTAAGCTGAACAATAGTGTGGGGGGAGTGAGTAATCAAGAGTTGCGTGACGCTCAAACAAAAGACGAATTGACGAGATTTGAAAATCGCATTACTCCGGGTTCGCGTAAGTCGGGGTAGCATAAGTCAAGGTATTACTGTATTTGGTCAATCATTTGTAATGGTACCCATTCAACCGTCCTCAACCCTTTTGTCTGCGTCAAGAAGGCACTACCTTTTATTAATATTTCCCTTTCTTTGTACTGATTGTACCTTTAGTATCTTATTGTGACTTCTCCACCGGACTAACGGTTCCCGACAGGTGCCAACGGTTCCCTCTCTTCCCTTAATCTTTTATTCCTTATTCCCTATCCCCTATCCCCCATCCAATCCCTCTATCCTCCATTTCTTTCCCCTCATCCCTCTCGTACTTTTTCTAAGGCTACACCACCGAGTAAAGCCTTATCCTTTGTTTGTATGTATGTATTTGGTCAATCGAATTTAATAAATTAGTTTTATATACATATAAGCAATTATATATAATTATATATATGTGGATATTGATTTATTAGAAAAGCTTTAGGGTTTTTGTTTTATATTAGATTAATAGCTTTAAAAATTTTCATATATTCTTTTAACAAAGTTCATTTTGAAATATTGAAATATAAAATTAATACAAAATGTAAACTTAGTTTGTAAGACAAACATTTTTTTTAAATCATAATTTTATTACTTTTTTGACATCATTAAAATATTTTGAAAGTTCGTGTATTAAAAGTAATTTGTTTAAAAAAAAGTGTACTTAAAAATGGAAGAAAATATAACAAAAATCTAATGGCAGAAGTTTGCAGAATTTTTTTGGTGTTTAAATATTTTCTCTTAGTTATGGAAAATATCTATTTACATACTCAAAATAATCTAAATTATTTTCGTGACAATGAAAAATATTCTATAAACTTTGTTATTTTGGAATGAAAGATTTATTTAACTGATGATATGAAAGCAAACTGACAGGACATTTTTGTCCTCAGTTTGCTCTTCCTTAGACAAACTGATTGCCCTAGGTTCGTCATTTGACTGCAATGTTTACATTCTCTTCTCACCTCCGTCTAGTTTCGGTGTTTAATAAAATACTTCAAAACTTATGAATATACTGCTTATTTAATGCAACCAAAAAATATTCTTTAAGCCATATTCAGCTGTGTGATATTCTAAAATGAAATTATTTATGGTAAGATTCCATTTAAGGTATAGAAAATATGGTAGCATTTTTCCCTTACTTATTATTCTAATTGTTTTAAGTAAAAAAGTTTTAAGTTTTTCTTATTGTTTTATTTAATATTCACTGTAAAAATCAACTTTTTTAGAGGGGAAATAATAGTTTTCTGGTGAATGCACTGACTTCAAAGACATCAGAATGAATTATAAAAAATAAACCTTATGCTGATTTCAGGATTTGCTGGGATCTCTAAAACATATTCATTTTGTAAAGCAGAATCCATTACAAATAAATTCTTTTCACTTTTGTACATCTGCCCATCTCACCTTCCTTAATCTTTAGAACAGAGTTAGATGGATGAAAATCAAGACCAGACATCAAAAATGTAGGGGCAGGAGACTCAATTAACTATATACAAACTTATGATCTGGACTAAAAGTATTGTGATTTTTTAAATTAAAATATGATTAAAAATTGTAAATAGCCATTTATAAAGCCAGCCAAGTAGCAGCATGCGTCAACCGGAAGGAGGAGCTAAATCTGTCGCTGGCTTTGCAGTCTCTGTTAGATGCCGATCCATGGCTACCTCCACCAGCTCACGACTGTGCATGTCAAGCGAGACTGACTTTGTCAAAATGACATTCGATCCTGTCGAATTGCAGATGCTCCGTCCAGAAGCATTCCTAAGCTAGTTGAACTGAGGAAGAACTGTGAGATAGTTCAAAAATGTTTGTCACCTGCTGTATCTTATACGCGTTGCACACCGGTAACAGGTTTAGGAAAGATAGGATTTCACGCCGGTGCTAAAATTAGAGTGAACTTTGTGATTAAAAATTGCATCCCAATATTGTAATGATGTCACAATAATTAAATGATTTTTAATTGTTTAAAATAGCATAAATGGTTA